CAGATACCAATAATTATTATTGTTGCTGTTGGACGGCGAGCCACGGAAACGCTGTTCACATTCTATCCGTCGTGGCAGCTGCATGCTTGTTCGCTGACGTTGACGATGGTAAACCAATACGCCACCTTTGTCTTGCAGCCGTCCATGCCTGATCGTCGTCTTTCGGCGGTATTATCGCGTTGAGAATAAGCAGATTTTAAAGAGTAGGTAACAGTATCTGTTCGTGTTGTTCTTGTTGTGTTATCTGTAGCAATGCGATACGAACTAGCGCGATGTCGATGAATCTCCCGTTTGTTTCCCACGATACCTTGCTTCGGGTTGTATTTAGCTCTGGAAGTGCAAAGCGCGACCAAACGGTGCAGACGATTGCCTTGTTTGATGCCGCCAGTGCCCCGTGGTGGTCTTTTACGTATCAAGGTTAGCAGACGCTCGCCGAAGTGCACTTCTGTGTGACCTGAGAATGTGTTCAGCCCGATTTCAAAACTACACACGCCTGAATTCGAACCCATCTTCAGTTTCACCGCCGTTCTGTATAAGTAGAATGTGGGAGCACAGCGGCGCATCACAATTTGAATGAACGGGTCGCACAGTGGATGGGGAAGAAAGTTACCCATCTGGAGAAATACCTTTCCTAGGCTGCAAAGGATCAAGAAATCAACGAGCATTCCCGTATCAATAAGTTGGTGTCTGCAAGACGAACGCGTTGACAAAGAGGTGAGTCACTGATCGTTAAAGAATTGTCAAGTTTAATCAAACCGATAGTGAAACGTCTTGGCAATGCAAATTGTTATTATCAACCTCGTGACAATCAACCTAGGATAATTATAACAATCAGTGGCGAATAGCGACACTATCTTCAGGTCAACTAATCAATTGATTTTATACTTTCAACGACAACGCTTCGGTTGGATATGAAGCCATTGAATTGTATGTTGAAACCTCGCAAAAGTTCGAAATGCTGTGCACCCAGTTACATAGGTAATTCAAATTAGCTAACAGCCAGGTCCTGTCATTCCAGAAACCCGTCTCAAACTGTGCTAAATGTACTACTCAATGTGATGTGAAATACATCTCCCACAGCCATAATCACACCTTCCAACAATGATTATAGCATATCAACGGTCATCCTAGACAACTGAGTGTACATCATAAAAAATATTGTCATACTTTCCACTATTGAAAGATATTCTGCAATGTTGGAGAACTATCAAAGTCGGCGACAGTGCTTGAGAGATTGGTCTATGTAGTATGGACATTTAGTCCATCGCGACTAGGACAGTACGTCGAGTATTCACATTTCTTCCCTTCTTTTGTAAACAGCAATTGACTAAGATCTATCTTAGCCCCCGTTTGAAAGTACACCATGGACCGTCAAGAGCAGAGCCAGTTGAAGGAGCCTCGCCTCGGCGAACGTCCGAGGATGTACCACGATCCTGATCTGCACTTAGAATGTTCTATTTGTGGAGCGCACAAGCCGGAGGATGACCATACTGCCAGGGCGCAGCAACAATGCACAATTCCAATTCTACGCCTGGAGTGTGCAAGCTGCGTGGAAGACGAACTTGAACGGAACCGCCGGGTATTCGCAAAAAAAGAAAGAAATGCGTCATCCCTGTGAGGATAGTCAGTGAAATTCCTCATCGTAGCCGTTTGCATGGCATCAGTCCTGTCTTCGAAGTGTGTCCTTCGTCTCAGCATCATACCATCTGGTCACCCTGTAAGAAGACCTTAGGGTCTGTCGCGAATGCCCAAGTGAAGTAATAAAATACAATGCAAAATTACAGTCAGTACAATACGGTTTCCATTTCATTTCCGGACTTCACCTCTCGTCGTACTCGACTGTCTCGAGCTTCGCCTAGTTATCCTAAGTGTTTTTTGCAATGCAGTGTACGTACGCGTACTTCCTAAGCTGGTTGTCTTTCTCAGAAAGAAACTCAGTGCAGCTGTATAGGCGGTGATTTGCATACAATAATGTACATGTACGTGTTTTGATAGAAAGGGGCCTTTTGACTGATTGCGTCTGCATGTGCTTAAAAAGTAGAAGGGTGCTTGCAAAAAGCGTGGCGAGTACTTCGTATTGATTGTCAACAAAAATGCTTGTCTTGATTCCCACTCTATATCACCTACACAGCAACAAACGTTTCCATCAGTTTGATAAGACTTACTGCGAACTTAGTTGGTTTGGTTTGATTCAATACTGTAAACCGTGAAATTATTGCGATGGTCTAATTTCTGCGAAATTCACGACCGCGTGGAAATCGCGAAATTTAGACAGCGCGAAAAGGAGATCAATGAAAGGTTTAGCAAGAATGCCATTCTGCAATCGCAAAATTAAAACCTCACAAACCTGTCCGGATTCTGAAAACGCGAACTAAAAACGCCGCGAAAATTTCACGCTTTACAGTATCCAAACACATGTAGATGCCCACAGGCACACCAGTCTGCAAGCGGTCTAGTCTGGGTTACCGGAATCACAGAGAAAGGAATGAAATAAAGTCATCCGAATTGTCACGTATTGACCAACTCCACGGTGCCTACATGTACGTACGGAAGGCAGACCAACAGAGACCAAAACGCTGTCTCGTTACTCCGTTACCCTCATGTAGACAAAGAACTTTATTGAAAATCCATCAGAACGTGATAGGAAAGATGTCGATTGTGAAATGCTCAGATCAGAAAAATCCAAAGTCAACGCAGGCAGTTATTAGTACAGTGGTCACCACTATCAAAGCAGATCAATATGTTGCCATAGCGCAACTTCCTACATTTGCATTGTAGATGTGCATAAAGAGTCAGATTAAAGCTAAAACTACTTAGGGAGCAAGGGTCCTGAGCTTGCCGCTTATTCTTCTTGGAAGTGAGTTCACCCGATCAATCACGTGACAAGAGAATCCGGCCCGCACACACACGCTCACACACGTACAAGTGTATTGTACACTCAAGTATCCATAATAATTGTTATGCACACGTCTTTTGCAGAGCGTTGGCTCTCTGTGTGCTGGCCATGAAAACTCTTCATGATAAATGTGGCCACGTTGAGCATAATACGTGTGCGTGTGTGTGTGTGTGTTTGCGCGCCGGTGTGCGTGCGCGCGTGTGTGTGCGTGCGCGTCTGCATGCATTATGTGTGTGCACGTTTTCCGCGTATATGTTGGACGGTGACTGGCGTGCGTTTGCCTGTGCTCATCAAGATTGGACGTGCCGTGGGCGCTCGTTCCACAATGTATTACTCGACTGCCATGTTATCCTCACTGGTTGCCTTCATGGTGCTGTTGCTGACGTTTTCTCGTTCTGTGACTGCTGACAGCGCAGGCGAATTGAGAGATCTCTTTAAGGAAAACAAAGAGGCGCTCGGGTTATACCGTCAGTATTTGCTAGTGAAAGGCGGCATTCTGCCACCGTCTAGCCTTCCCTCGCACACTGCCAGTTCAGCGGATATCGCAATTCCACTGACCTTCCGTGTCCAGTACGGGTCGGTGGCCAGCTACCGAAGGCTAGCTCATTCCCTACTAAGCGTGCAACGGCTTGTGTCTACGATGTGCTGCAGCATGGCCAACTCGTTTCCCCTGCTCGGCCAGCCCTGCTGCGCCGGCAGCCACGTGGCGAGCGGAGCTTATGAAACCCTCCTTGCCACTCTCACGGAGGTAGAGGCACAGTTTCCTTTGCGGTCGGCGACTGCGAATTCCCGGCGCAGCCAAGCCAATGCTATGCCGCTTCGTGGTACGCCCCAGAGCAGCAGTAGACCGTCGTTCCCGGTGTGGCCCGGCCCACCGGCGGACCTAATGCGACAAATACGGACGTTTAACAGAGCAAGATCCGCTCGATCCGCCACCGAGCCATCGTCGCAATCCACTCCTACTAGAAGCGGACGGGCGGGCAATGCAGTAGATGTGGCATCTCTTCAGACTGTGCTGTGTGAAATGCGAGCTGCTGATGCTTCATTCTACGCGAGCAGTGACGTGATGGGCACGGTATTCTCCAGAGTGATCCGGGCTGCTGATCGAGCCATTCGTCTATATCGGCGACTGCAGGATGGAATGAACATCGGCAATCTCTCCCAGTCGACTGCAACCGCGACAAATGACGTCACATGCCCTGATATGTCTGGCCGGCCCATCTGCGCGAACATCACGCAATTTGGTAATTCTGACGAGTCGAAGGGGGTTGCCTGCCGCCCTCTGCCCGCCCTTTCCGCTCTGCTGGATACACCGCTGGGCACTGATCACGTGATGGGGAGTCGACTGGATGTGCACGTTATACGCCTGGCGGTCGTCCTCGTGTTTGCCGGGAAGTCCAACTTCCTGCTGGGTCAGTGGTTCATGCCAAGGCATGTACCGTTCCAATACCGCTTGGCCATATTACGTGCTGAGTACACGGCACGCCGCCTGCTACTTCAGTCCACTGCCTTGTTAATCCCTGTAAACGAGCAGTGACGGCTGAAATGCTTCGCTGCGCGCACACGCCATTAGCACGCACATATGCCGTGAACCTTCATTATCAAATACATCCCCTATGTTTTGTCCTTTTCCTCGTTTCATTTTGTTCTCCACCTGTTTTCCAGTAGGGCTGTGCCAATAGTAAAAAATGTACTCCTTCCCTACTTCCACGCCTCCATTCTGTCATACATGTACTTCCGTACATTCATACATCCAAACTTTTCACACTTACATACTTTCCACACTTTCAATACTTCGCGTTATTTTCCATAATACTTTCCCAATCATTTCCGATCGTTTCCATACCTTTTCACACTTCTCCGACGGAACAGGGTGGAACGTAGGCCGGCTACGAATTTCTACCCGATCTCCCTTTGGGGCGTTCATTGAGATATTATGAAGCCGACACCTCTGGTCGGCAGAGCTTAATATTATTAATGGGCCCCACCACCACTCTACTGCATTCATTTCAGTGTGTGGAGATGCCTGGATTGTGTAGAAGAAAAGATTGTGTATTCGACAGAATGATGTCACCTCAAACTTCATTCACGTTTCACTGGAAAATTGCCCGATTCTTTTTGTCTTGTTTGAAATGGAATTTCATGCATACCGTAATTCCGAGGATATAAGCCCACGGGACAATATCCCGATATACTAGTAAGCCCGCGGGACAATATCCGGATATAAGCCCACGGGCCAATATCCGGATATAAGCCCACGGGACAATATCCGGATATAAGCCCACGGGACAAAATCCGGATATAAGCCCACGGGCCAATATCTGGATATAAGCCCACGAGCCAATATCCGGATATAAGCCCACGGGCCAATATCCGGATATAAGCCCATGGGACAATTTCCGGATATAAACCCACGGAACAATATCCGTATATACGCCCACGGGACAATATCCGGATATAAGCCCACGGGCCAATATCCGGATATAAGTCCACGGGACAATATCAGGATATAAGCCCTCTATCATGCATGGTACAGCCGTTCAGTGCAGTTTATCAGTAGAGCATGGTACAGCCGTTCAGTGCAGTTTATCAGTAGAGCATGGTACAGCCGTTCAGTGCAGTTTACTGATAAACTGCACTGAACGGCTGTACCATGCTGTACCATACTCTACTAATAGAGTATGGTAGGCCCACTATGAGCACGGACTTGTACCTTTGTCGTGAACCTTCAAATTCGAGTATTGGCCCATGGGCTAAAAAACGAACATGTTTTACTGGATGTTTTATCCCCAAACTGCATTATTTCACATAAGCCCATGGGCTTATATGCGCGGAATTACGGTAAGCGACATCTGCACACACAACGCATTACCATTCTTTCACTCTCGCGTATACAATGATGCTGAAAGCCTCTCGGCTGGTAGAGATTGGCACAAAAATGTTCGCTGGCAATTGCCGAGTCTTCCGCCTTTGCCTCAGGGCATGACGTGCATGTACATGATTGTACATGCAATTGTTAGATTGACAGCATGAAACAAGGTGGAGGACACTGTGTTCGAAAACAGTGGCCTTGCTACAACCTTCCGCGGTTGGCAGAGCCCCGGTCCCTGCTTTGTTTCATGCTGTCAATCTCACAATTGCGTGAACTACAACAAGGTTTGTCTAATACAGGTTTACCAGTGTTGGATTCTATCAAAATGACTGTACATGTACAGTGCTGGCAACTGAAATCCGACCCCTGCGCGGTGCTCCCACTTCGCAAAGACCCAACGCCGTCGCGGGATTGTAGAACTACGAAATATAGACCGCTAGAATGCTAACCCACCGCTCAGGGGTCGGATCTCCGTTGCCAGCACCGTACAGGGTACTAGTATTAGATAAACATTGTACTAGTAGAAACACGCTTTTTAGCGTTCCACCACTTTGTAATACGCTGTCAAACTAAAAAAGATGATTGTCCAGTAGGGACCGGCGGATGCTGCTCGAAAAGGTGGCAGATTCTGCTCGAAAAGCAGTAAAATTGGCAGAACCATACAAACCTTATGGCGGGCAATTCCTCGAATTCTGCTCCATTTCTTTACCCACATACCAAACATGCATGAAACTTACCAGAAAAAGCACCGAATTCTGCCAATTTTTCTGCCGTAAGAATCCGCTGGACCCTATAATGTGCAGTCATGCCGTAAGAATCCGCTGGACCCTATAATGTGCAGTCATGCACACGTACACGTACATGTTACATGTACATGTACGTGTAGGAAAGCTAGGAGTGTGATGCACACTGATCCGAATCTGCACACTCTGCATGATGCGTACTTGCCAACCATTGCAAACCTGAGATCGGGACAATGGCATACCTAGCGTCCTAGGTGTGAACATGTACATGTACAATTATAACGTAGCTGTGAGGCATGCGACAAATGCACTTTTGGATGCCTATTACTACCTTGATATCGGAACTGTCCCCGCCAAACCGGGATGGTTGATTTAACTTTTGGCCGGTTTTTTTGGCAAAACCAATTCCATGGAGAGGACGAAACTCTTCAAAAACATGAAGAAACTCCAAAGCACAAAATAACCAAAACTAAACCAAGAGGGTCTAGAACAATATTAATTTTGGAAAATATCGACAAAGAATGGATCAACAAGAGCCTCCCGCCACGCTGGCGGTTTCAGAGGCTGCTATTGCTGTTTAGTAATTTCTCTATAATTTTTTTACTTTTTTAGGGCTTTGTTATGTCATCGTATGTATTGGTGCAGGCGTTGTGGCCAGATTCCTGAAAAAAAAATCAAAAAACCCAAGAGCATGTGCATTGCGAAGCAGCTGTCTGGAGGATATGGAACATCTACCCAAGAACGAACTTCCTCGCTATGTAGTGGTGTTGTGACTGTGGGTCAAGAGCGCAGTGTGGAGAGTAGGCTTTCCCCAAATCTACCAATTTCTTTCGCCTATTAGGCTTTTCGCTATGCTCTAAAGTACATCAGATTCGGCTGCAAAATCAGCTGATTGTTGGCAACTCGGCTGCAAAATTGGAATTACATGTACATGTTTATTGGAAAATCGGCTAAAAGAATTGTTGAATTTGTTGGCATAATTGGCTTCAAAGTTGCACTTTGCAACAGCATTTTGGTAGATTCTTGGCGATTCTCAAAGGAACCCTCCAAAATCGGCTAAAAGCTAAGCAATTTTTCGATAAGTCTCGTTTTGAGCGAATTTTTGGGCCCGCCATTTTGGGGAAAGCCTATCGAGCGGTCATGCTTGCAGCAACATTCTTCGTTCGCAACGCACCTTGCAACAACATTTGGACGATTTTCGGCGATTCTCAAAGAAACCCTCCAAAATCGGCGACATCTTTTAAGCGATTTTCGATAAGTCTCATTTTTGGCGAATTTTTCGACCGGCCGATTCGGGGAAGGCCTAGTGGAGAGGTACATGTGACATGTTAAAAAAATGTCGAATCACAACTGCTGGCCAAGGCACACTTCAGCAGTACGGTTTTTTATATTTTTTATAGGTAGGGTGTTCGCTGCCTCGAACCCAGACCCCTTTTTGTTTTGTTTTTCCGCACGTTCGGTTTCTCCCCCTTCTCCGTGAAATAATACAAAAAAAAGGTTCTGCGTTCCGGCTCTCCGCGAACATAAGAAAACTAGAGGAAAACAAACAAACTCAAGGAGCAAGAATGACAAGAAAAGCAGAAAATATGAGACAATGAGCATATTCACGAAGCGGTTTTCCCTCTGTACCAGAGAAAAGTACCACATCCTGAACACGCTAGGGTCACCATCCTGCCTCAACAAGCGCTCTGAAATGGTGTCCAAGTGCCAACACGAGAACAAGTGTCTCCTCAAATACCACAGTGTCACCAAAATATGTCTCCACAGCCTCCTCTGATATCCTGCAGCCCCTTCCTAAAGATCCCAAAATATTTCGAAACTTATGCTTTTCGCAACCATGCCAGAACAAGTGAAAGTTGCTACAATCGCATCCACGTTTTCAGAAGAAGCTGAAAAGTTGCTATTATCGCAATTCAAAATGAGCGAGTTCTTGTGCATAATGATGCCGTCTTGGGCACCCTGTAAGAAGACCTTAGGGTCTGTTGGGAATGCCCAAGTAAAATAATACTTGTAAAAATACAATAAAAATACAAAAAATGCCAAAAACAAGCAATAAAGGAGCGGAAATAGAAAACACTGTGGCGCAGCACAACTGCCTGAGCAAAGTCATGCGTACTAGTACTTTGAAGTCCATATGATTGAATAATGGTCACCGAGTAAAACATGTTAGCTATAGACTTATAGGAAATTGAACAGACTTGAAATGAGTCATTGTCCTTTTTGTTCAAGCTTCGCACAGCATTCATGACATAGCGGCATGCTCAGTGCTGCCACATACATGTACATGTGTCAGCGCTTGTTGTTGAAGCAGAGCATCGCGGACACTTCAATGGTCTCCACAATGGTCTCCACCAGGGCTATTCTCTGCACACAGTTGCGGAAAAGTTGCGAAGTAGTTTGTGAAATTGTACAAAGTTGCGAAAGTTCCGATTTTTTCCAAAACATGAAAAAGTTGCGAAAAAAGTGATGAGCATATTTGGGAAAGGTCTAGCCTCCTGCGCCTCCTGCGACTACACCATTCACACTATGCATATGCGGATAATTCCGGCAGAAAAATTGGCAGAATTCGGTACTTTTTCTGGTAAGTTTCATGCATCATTTTTTTGGTATGTGGATAAAGAAATGGAGCAGAATTCGAGGAATTGCCCGCCATAAGGTTTGTATGGTTCTGCCAATTTCACTGCTTTTAGAGCAGAATCTGCCACCTTTTCGAGCATTATCCGCACACCCCTAATTCACACATCTTCTTTTTTTCTTTAAAAAAAAAATTTATTTATGGATTCCCCAAAGGCCGAGGCCTAAGTCGAGGGGTCTCCGTTCATGGCTTACTGGGAATATATCTGCAAAATTATAACATATAGATTGAGAAGAGGAAGGGTTATAACAAATGCATACTGTAGAAATCAGCCATACCATTCTTTACTATGTTATAGAAACTCTGGAAGGAATGAAACCAGCGAAGCGGGTGTTGGCAAAGATAGTACGGACACGAGACACAAAGCAATGACTATTTTGGGTGGTTCTAATGTCAGTGGGGAGAGAATTCCAGGTGGCAGCGGTAACAAAGAGGAAGGTGGCATGCGAGTAGCTGTTCGCCCTGGCAGGCGGTACAAGTTGGAGAGGGCGCCGCGCGCTGGTGGAGAGACTATAGCCCAGCTCCATAAGGGCAGTGGTCTGGTGGTGGACCTTCCCGCAGCTCTATCTGTAACATACTCAGTTAGTTACCTTCGGTGACTTCTTTCACTTGTGATTTTTCTCCTCCCCTCCCCATTACTATTGTCATGAAAATTGTCATGTTGCTCACATGTATATAAAGGGAAGCGCCATCGCCTGTTTGTGTTGCGAACCCTGCCCACACCAGCCATATACATGTACACTGTGCTAATATCACACTGCCAGCTACTCCCACCCTACACTACAGCCTCTTGCCTACAACATCCACACACCTTGCAGCCGCGAGTCACCACCTCCTGCCCACATCAGCCACAC